TGGGGTGTGGTGAAGAAGGAAATTTTATTCAGTGCAAAACAGCTCAACCTTGATACATTAAGTCTATGAAAACAGCACAGCTGTGAAGCAGCCCTGGGGCAAGGGCCCTCTTGGCTAGACAGCTCTGCTCTGCTTCTTACTAGACTGCTTTGTGCTGCACTGATCTGCTCCCCTCTGCTCTGGTCTAGTCCATTCTGTGCCATTCTGCTCTGGCCTGTGCTGGCCTGCTCGGTGCTGCTCAGGTGAGACATCTTCTGTGTTTTAGCCTAGCCAGGGAAACGCAGTCATCAGTCTTTGGTGGGAAGGGAAAGTGCACGCCCAGAGCCAGAGGGAAGTTGGTTAATATGCTAGTAGACAGAAGTCCCGGTCCCTGGTTGTTCTGTCTCATGCAAATGAAGATTCCAAATCCTTGCAGTTTGATTGGTCCAAAAGACATTGTCTTGATTGGTCAGAATGGAGCTGCTCTGATTGGTTGGTGAAGAAGCTGATGGGGATGTACTAGTAGCTGTGCAGCTCAGACTGGATGGGGAAAGCCTCAGTCCTGTTGGTTGAAATGGGATTCCAGGAACTCCTTTATAAGAGCTGGTTCAGATGGCAGAAACACACAAAGGCAGGCAGTACAGTGTAGAGGCAGGTAGTTCAGTGCAGGCTTTTCTGTGAAGTGCAGTTTGCATGAGAGCCCTGTATATAAATGGCTGCTAGTTTTATCTAATTAATTTACCCATTTATTTATTTTTAAAATTTGAGCCCAGTTAGTAACCACCAGGAGCCCTTCTTAGTACGTTCTTCTTTCTCAGGGTCCACACTTGCCCTTATGAGGGATTTACCAAGCTCCCCTCCCCCCACACACACATTTTACAACTAAAAGGACTGAGCTCCAAAGAGGTTAACATTCCCAGTGACCAGTGGTCTTTGTTGATGGGACCCAAATATAGACTTAGAGCTACATCTGAGTCCAGTCCCAGAGCTCTACCTGTCAACTTGAAGCTATACCGTCACACTCCATCCATCACGTGAATGGCCTATGCCCTATACAAAAAGAATGAGACACAGCCTGGAAAAGGAATCAGCTAAGTACATAAACATCTCTATTTTAACCTTCTAAATAAAGGAAAATTCCCTAAATTCTCTTCCCCAGAAATCCATGGAAATTCAAAGGAAGAAGGGGTCAAATTAGGTTGAAGAACTAAGATTGTTTCCTGAAGACAATGCTTTCAAAGGGAGGGCAGGATTACAGGAAGGAAGGGCAAATGGTGGAAGAATAGCAACAGCAAAGCCAAAGAAGAGCAATGGTGGTGAACCCAGGGGAGGGGTCCTGACTTCCCCATTTTGGCTGCTATTCTAACTATACTAAGAGAGAAGTCAGGTAAGAATGAACATAGATTAACCCAAATATTGTTGCTGAATGAGAATAAAGAAGAAGAGGAAGAAAAAAAATACTACAGTTCTGTAAATCATAATTCTATTAAAAAGAACAGGTGAACAAACTTCTCATTTTCCTTAAATACTCTAAAAATATCCCTGAGTGATTTGTGTATGCTGAGGATTATGATTGTTCTTCAGGAGAATAATAAAAAATATCAATTAGCTCTATATAAAATTATACTTATTTGTATGGCCCCAGTTTGATCAGAAATAGACCTAAACTTGAATATAAACAAATTAGTCAATAGCCTCTTGAAGAATGTACTGGGGAAGGATCAAATTTTGATGGGATAGAGTGATACCAGAATTAAATAAGGAGATAGGACATAAGAGACTTACAGGAAATGATGTATAAAAATCTGAATAAATGATTCCTTGTGAGGCTTTCTGTCTGAGGACAATGAGAATATAGAGCCTGGGTAGGCCAGGGCATACCTAGAGAAAAGATGCTCAGTAGAAGTGATGAAAAAACATTCTTACAGAATTTTTCCATATTTTATATTAATTTGACAAATCAAATATATTCATTTGTATGGCCTTTGCAAGTATGATTTTGTGCTTGATTTTAAAATTTTACATATGATGTTATTATTTTTCTGTTTTTGCTGTTCTAAAATATGCATCTTTTAGAAAACAATATTATGTCGTCAGTAACAAAAGATTGTTAATTGAAAATGAAAAGGCTAACAGAAAAGGAGGCAGAAAATTATTGCTCTGGATTTATAGCTTGTTGCTCAGCTAAAAATATTTTATTTATCTGGCATGTTTGGCAGTTAGCATACGAAACAAGGACCCAGTAGCTGTGAATTCAGGCTCTATTATAGGAACCCAATTACTTTGTGACTTAAGGCCATTTAAACTTCATGTCTTAAACAAATTCACTGGACTCCAAATGCTAAAACCACTGCTTAAATAAATAACACCTTCAAAAAATGTCTGGGTAGTTCATGTCCAGGAAAGGTTACCTACGTTTTACACAGCCTTGTAATAAGTACCAGAACTGAATCAGCCCATAGACTTAACTATCCCATATTATCTCCACAAAGTGAGCGGCCCTTTCATAACTAAACTTGCATTTTCTGGTTATTTTAACAAATGGTATTATTTCCCAATTACAAAAGTAACCTATGCGTTCTTGCAGAGAAGTTGGAACCCAACCAAAAGAGATTAAAAAAGACCAATTAGCCAACCATCCATTCATAACTACTATCAATTTTTGAACATAAGACCCTGCGTGTCTGCCTAATACTTGATACATATAGGGTGAGCCAAAAGTAGGTTACAGTTGTGAGTATGCGAAATACGGAATTTATTGTTGTATTATTATTTATTGTATTACTAGAGGCCTGGTGCACAGATTCGTGCCCAGAGGCCCCCCACTTCCCTCACCTGCTCCGTGCCCACTGCCCAGAGGCCCTCTTTGTGATGGAGTGACAGTTAATTTGCATATTACCCTTTTATTAGATAGGATTATATCATTCTATTATTTTCTATGTGAGCAACTGTAAACCCACTTTTGCCCCATCCTTTATGTGTGTGTATATACACACATACTTTTTATATATTTGCAAAAACAGAGTAGGAGCAATATATAAGATCACCAGGGTGAAAAGCCCTGGATGCCTAGCAACAGGTAAAACTGGGAAAACAAGTATTACAGTGTGGGTCCTCACACCCAGGGTGACCTTTGCTCTCCAGCATATTTCTGCTTATGCGGTTTAAACCCCCTGACCTTTCATATGGCTGGTCATGCGGTTTGAACCCTCTCCTGACCTTTCCTCCCCGGCATGTCTCTAGTCATGTGGTAGACCACCCTGTTCTCCCTGTAGGGGAACAATGTGGCCAGAGAATGCCTAATAGGTCTCCCATACAAGCCCTTGTACAACCACTCCCTTAAGCATTAAGCCCCACTAGAAGGAGGTTCTGGCCTGCATCAATTAATTGTAGGAGCAAAGCCTAGAGTCTGTTGACCACAGAGACAGAGTTTTGGTAAAACTGGAGATAACATCTAGGCCTCAGTTGTGTTTCAGGCCACAGCAAAACCAAAGGAAGAAACGCAATGGCTGACATCAGAACCAGCTGCAATGACTAATGACCCCCTACCTAGCATGGACCAATCAGTAGAAACCACAGCTCTCAAAGGACACACCTAGAAAACTGATGAATATTCTATTGAGACCCTCCCCTAAGGAATTCCCTAAAATCCTGCCTTTGGAAAACAGATAAAACCCCTTAAGACAAAGGACCCAGCACACACACTCTGTCTCTCTAGAGCCCTACCATGCCTTTCCTTCCCCCTTTCTTCCCTCAGGGTGTGTACTTTCTTCCCCTAAACTCCAAGGGACCTTCTTGTGCCTCTGTAACTTGTTTCCTGAGTCAAGGCAGCCCAGTTGGCTCACTTCTTCTACCTCTGTGACTTTCTAAATAAACTTTCTCTTATATTTGAGTTCTTGGCTCTGAATTCTTTTCTTAGCCAAATGCAACGACTGAGGTCTAAAATCTGGGGCTATTCATTGTTAACAGTTCTATTTATAATAGATGATAAGGTTAATGATATTCTTCTAACAATAATGGTTGCATATTGTTCTATCCTATGTCATAACTTAATATTTCCTTATTGTGGATCATCTGAATAGTTTCCAGTCTTTTATTGTTTTATTGATTTCTTCATAGAATAAAATCCTCTAAGTGCCATTTCTAGGAGGAAGAGGTTGTATGTATTTTAAGTTCTGGCTTTAGTTTAGGTTCATTTTTCCTGTTCTGATTTTTTACAATTCAAATTATTTCCTCATTATTGTATTATTACATGTTTTAAAGCCTTTTAATTTCAGTTTATTATTCCTGGGTCACTTAAGAAATATTTTTCCTAAATTTCTTTATAAATTTTCGTGGCATTGCATAACAGTTACTAATTAATTTGGAAATAATAACAGAATCATCATAATAATCTTTCCTGTATAAGAACACAGTGTTTCTCTTTATTTATTAAGGTCATTGTTTTTCTGACCCTTGGTAAGGCTTTGAGCTTTCTACACATAATTCCTTTATATATATTTATATTTTGTTTCTAAGCATATCTTGTTGAAATCTGCATGAGGAAATTTTAATCAGCTTTTTGTATCATTAATTATATGTATGACAGTTATTAATTTTGTGCATAGTTTAATTGGCTAACTTAACTCTATGGATTCTAATTTTGTTTACTTATTTTGATAGGTCATCTACAAACAAGGATACTTTTTTATCCACTTTTTCATAACTTTTCATCTAGTTGCTTTGTCTAGACCTCGGAAAACAATATAACAACACTATAGCTACTGGTTTTAAGTTCTTGGTGTTAAGACCTGGTAGTGCTGTGAAAGCCTTTAATGGGTGCTCCTCTAGAATATTCCTGAAAGTGATTTGAGATAGTAGTTGTTGATTGTAATTTTATGTAGATATTTTTTAGTGTGTATTTTCTTTCTTATGGCTCACTTTTTACTTCTGCATGCTTCTCAGCTTCCATTTACATTTGTTTTGCTATATTTTATCATTTTATCTATTGTTTTATAAACTGCATATTCTTTTTTTTATATAATGTTCCTTCTTATATGTATCAAAACTCATACTGAGCAATGAGTTCTGGGTTGCAAAAGAGGCTTTATTTTTAGCACCTGTATGTAAACTGCATATTCTTATGAATTATCCTGAAAGCACAAAGTCAGTGTGGTTTTATATGGGGTTTTTTTCAACAATTGGCTTCTCCATTCTTATTGTCACATTTCTTTCTCTTTGTACAGTATTCTAGATAATTTTCACAAGTTACACAATTATTTTTTATGTTTTTATATCTTTTGTAGCTTTGTTATTGATTTCTAGTTTATTTGTTTTATGGTCAGAGAACCTACTTTATATGATTTCAGTTTACATAATTTTAATGTATTTTTATTGATTTCAGAGAGGCAGGGAGAGGGAGAGAGAGATGAAACATCAATGATGAGAGAGAATCATGGATCAGCTGCCTCCTGCATGTCCCACACTGGGCATCAAGCCCACAACCTAGGCATGTGCCCTGACCAGGAATAGAACCATGACCTCCTGGTTCATAGGTTGATGCTCAACCACTGAGCCATGCCGGCTGGGCAATTTACTTAAATTTTTGAGGTTTGTTTTATGGCCCAGAATAGAGGAGAAGAAGCAGGTGGTGATGTAGGTAGGAAACAGGGCCAGTGCCAGGGAAGGGTAGAGAGTGTCAGAATACTGGGAGGGTCAACAGGGTCAGAGGCTTCCCAGAGATCCAGGAAGAACAGGATCAAAACGTAGTCCTGTGTTGTTTGCTACAAGCCAAGCTGGCTTCTTCTAGGCATCCCCCCCCCACCCCTTTTTTTTTGGTGCTATCAGAATGTTCTCAGCTAGTCTGCTCATGGATTTGGTTACTCGGTGACCTCTAGTTGGTACAAACTCCATAGGACCTTCCAAACTCCCAGCAGTGGTTCTCAGCACTGGCTCTCTCTGTGTCGTGCCTGGTGAGGAATAGACATCAAATGGACTATCTCCAGAAATCTCTTCATTTCCAAAATATTGGGAATTTCCTTTCCTCACATTGCTTCCCTACATAGAAACCAATATCTTGTCTTCTAATATATAGATAACGAGTCTAAGGAGAACATGTTTTTAAAGTTTGCTGTCTTTATATTTTTGTAAGCCAGTGTTAGTATCAGAGTGGACTAGACAGAACATGGAGCAACATGAAAAGAAATATCACGTAATTTATTTAATATTACTATACATTAATATTACTATACAGGAAATTGAAAAGTGCTTCTTAAAAACCATAAAAGTTTAGTTCTGCCAATAATTTCTCCAGATTTGATTTATCTGTGAAAGCTTGTTCTGCATTTAACATCACTTCTCCCGTTCTTACCCCCACTTCCTTCTTTGTTTCCTTGGGTAGGATAATGGCTTATTAAAACAATAGGATCTTTTCACCTTAAAAACTGTGTTCCTCCAGAAAAGGCTCCATGAAAAAAGACAGCCCCAGGCAAGAGTCATTAGATACTGAATTATTTTCAAATGAATAGCAAAGCAATTTTGATATCCTTAACCCCAGCCTAATTTCTCACATACCCTCACTCTACGTATCAGAGTATTATTTGCGTCATTCTGGAGCTGTTATCTTTCAAGAAATAAATATATGCAACTGTGCATTTGTTTATGTCCTACTTGCTGAGTTTTTGAGGTTGAGTTGTGGGTAATCTAGACATCACCTGGGGTTCTCTGTCCCGTGTGCTGTCAGTTACCCCTGCAGGTGCCAGAGAACCCTGCTCCTGACTGCATATCTATCTTGCTCCCACCCAGCGCGCCAACCTTGTGCCAGAGACAACATTGGCCGTTTCTAAAGGCACTGTTTCTTTGGAGAGCTTTTAAAGATTTAATCTTATCTTCAGTTTACTTGAATTTCTGTGTTTTCAGGTAAAAAGCCTTTGTCTAAAACATTGTTTGAGGCCTCATTAGAGCTAAGGGCACAATCTGCAGAGCTGAAACCAGTTTCTGTGTGAAAGTAATTGACCCGTATGGGGACTGAGCCCATCGTCTTCAATGTAAATGATCCATTCTTAACATCCATTTAAATGATGCACCAAAATATTTAGTTGTATCAGTTATATGCTTGCACTTTGCCAAGCAGTGATTATTTTTTTGTGAATGTACCCACATGTTAATTTAAGGGTATTTAGTTTGCTTTATTTAATTTTTTACCCTACATGACACCTGGGAGATTAAAAATAACAAAGAATTTCTTGACTGACTGAATGAATGAATATAAAACAATAGCTGAGCCCTAACCATTTGGCTCAGTGGATAGAGTGTGAGCCTGCGGACTGAAGGGTCCCAGGTTCGATTCTGGTCAAGGGCATGTACCTTAGTTGTGGGCACATCCCCAATAGAGGGTGTGCAGGAGGCAGCTGATCGATGTTTCTCTCTCATCAATGTTTCTCTCTATCCCTTTCCCTTCCTCTCTGTAAAAAATCAATAAAATATAAAAAAACAATAGCTGATATAAGTGATGGTGGTGTGGTATTTCTGTAACTTTCTGTGGCAGTTTTATCAATATCACAAGCCCAGGATCTGCTCATTTCTCCTGGTGTAGTCATAACCCACTCAGTAATAACCTGTAAGCATTTCTATAACCTCTCATGTCCAGGTGAGTAGGGTTGTCCTGATGATGGGTTCACTCTCTGAGCAGTTGGGCTCACTATAGGCCTAATTGACTGACAATAAAATGATTAACAACTATCTTGTTTCTACCAAAGGAGAGAACACCAACCAAACATAAAAACTAACATTAGTGAGGCCATCAACCAGCATAAACAATTTGAGTGGCATTAAGGAAATATGCATCCATGTAAAAATAATGCTACTCTTTCTATTAGTTTCTTACACATGTTCTTATATGTGTATATGTTTATACCTATAAATATGTATGTGTAATATTAATAAACACAGAATGTGTTTGAACATACCGGGCACTCCAATATTTGTTGAATGAATGGTGTGTCTTTGATGCTCAATAAATATTTATTGAACTGTTCGAGAGAAAATAAAGACAGGTGATAAGGTGCAATTGTTTCGTCATCTAATGTTTTGTAGAAAGGCTAATCTTTGCAAGCAAACAAAGTTACCTCTATTTGTACAGGATTATTAGACATAATATACTCTGATAGTGTTCCTTTTTTAGAGGTAAAGTTCCTGGCCTGAAATAAATTTTATTCCAAAAGTATGTTTATTTTTCACTGATGACACCGTAGAGTAAACCAAAGGGATAATATATTTTGATTATGTATTGTGTGGGGGAAGAGGTTTTCAGTAAAACACGCAGCTTTCTATATGTCCACAGCTCCCATCTACTTCAAGATTGTTTTTAATTTTAACTTTATATTTAAGGCTGTCATTCAAATTAGAAAAATGCTACCTTATTTTATAACTAATAGGATCTTATAATTAAGTCAGCATTTTTCTTTTATTTTGTAAATTCATATTTTTTCAAACATACTATATAATTATAAGGATTTGGATGATTAAAACCCAAAGTTCTTGGGAAGAACTCCATAAAAATGTGCATAACCTTTGTCAAAACTGTGAAATTGTTTCATTGTACTGACTGAGCTGAAGGAGTGAGGATAGGAAGGAGTTTGAGTGAATGAAGAGCTGTAGCATCCCGCTCGGGGGACTCCATCCTGCCCCTGTCCCTGAACTTCATGGAAACTAACTGCTTTCAGATGATGGTTCCAAGCCTTCTCTCCTCTCCCTCCCCACCCTCACTCTCAGCTGGTAACCTTGTACCTTCTATTTTACTGGAAGTTTTAAGCAACCTGAAAAGCTCCCCCCACCATATCCACCTCCACACACTTCTGTGCTGAGCCTTCCTGCCCATCATGGCCTTTGACCTGCTGGTGGGTCTCCTATGTGGGCTGACTCTTCCTCTTGGATAGTTTTGGGGTATTTTCAACTACCCAGGGGTGTGCTTTCCCTCTCCTGCATCCTAGAAATCCCCCTCCTTCAGCCACTGACATGCTGTTTCTTCCATCTTACAAACAACACCCTTGATCCCATTTCCCATGGACTACCATCCCCTTCCTCTGTCTCCATTTATAACAAACTCCTTGAAAGAGTTGTCTGTTCTCTCTGATCACAATTTTCCCTGGACCAAGGTCACACCAGTCCCAGTGGATGAGGTCAGTAATGCAGAAGGAGCAATAAGAGGAGGACAGAGGTCACAGAGTTAGCCCATTTATGGTAACTGCTCTTGTTAAGGTCATTTCCTCAAGGTCATTGGTTAATTTCCATAGTGTTAAACCTAGTGGTCAGTTTTCAACCTACCTTTTACCAGGTCTACACAGTGCATCCCTTTTTCTCTCTCTGAAACTTGGATAGATGTGGCTATACACACACATTTAAAATGCTTATAAGTCTAGATAGAATGCACAATCATAATTCTAAAAATAAACTATTAATGGAAGAAAATACTCAAAACTTCTAAAAGGCAAAAGATTAATGTTCTTGAAATATAGAGAGCTTTTTCGGGTTAATAAAAAAAAAGATTGAAATCACAAAAGAGGAATTGACAAAGGCATGAATATAAAAATCACAGATAAAATATATACATAAAAATTTAAGTTCAGTCTCACCAATAATAAATTCAAACCAACATGCCAATGATTTGTCATTTTCAAAACAGAAAGAATAATACGAAACAAAGCAGGCATGCTTATATCCTGCCAGGGGAGTGTGGGCTGTTACACATCTATGGAAGAGATTTTTGCAGATTTTTCCTTAATTCTTAAAATGTGCATATTCTTTAACACATCAGTTCCACATCTGGTAAATTACCCTAAGAACATAATTACACAAATATGTAAAAGATGTAACACTCTTCATGGGAACCTAGAGAAATGCTAGGTTATAAAAGATCTATTGGTACATTCATAAAAATTTAATATGAACATTTATTAATGCCCTACTTGCGATGTCACTGTGAAATAGTATGTATAGTTCAGCCCCAACTTTGTTCTTTATTTTACTTTAGAAAAAATAGTGAGGATAAATATCCACCCTCCATGCCAGACCCTCATTGCCCCATTGTCTGTGTCCATGGGCCAATGCATATATGCATACAAGGTCCTTATTTGATT